GTCAATATTCCCTATTACTATTACTAACACTACTGTCAATACCACACCAATACCATCAATCTGGGATCGACATCACCTTCAGTGCAATAGCTTTCGTCACAAGGAAGCAAGGTAACTATCCAATTTCTTTGAACCGAAAGTATGAACCAACCGTCTCTCGCTGTTGCTGTTGAATATCATCTGCGTATGCGCCCGCACCAGCTGCCTCCAACAGAGCGAACAGAACGGCCCAATGCTCTTTGCGATGCACATTCGCCGCATTCGCACGTAACAGCTCATGAAGGCCGAACGCAATTTGACGTGAGAACATGAACATTGCTGGTGGTCGCAGTTTCTGAATGAACATCATTGCTCCACATAAAATCCATCTGATCGACATTCGTAATTGAGAGAATATAATAAATTGCTAAAAATTTCCATCGGATTCCTAATTTTGAAAGGGTAAGCAATTCAATAATGACTGAGCATTATCAATCACTGACAACGATGACTCAACGGTTCCTGTTTCGGACAAAATTCTCATCAGAGAAGATCCAAAGTAAAAGATTACCAATAACATAGCCAACGAATGCAGAATTTCTTCAGCAATATCATCCTTCAGTCTGAAAAGATTGCGATTTGCTAATCTCAACAATCCTACAACAGCCCTTTCGACCAGAACTGGATTCCGTCCGAACGTTGACATGATCCACTGTAAGTGATGCTGAACTGATGGCCATATTTGTGACAATCGATCCTTGTTTTCCAACGTTATACTCACCATCAGTTCCAGATACAATACCAATGCATCTTCATCCTATAATATCATTCAACTTATTTGTAATTTCATGCGATACAATCACAATCCGAATTGAAAGTCTTTTTGAAAATTGCTAACAATAAACATAAAAACTCATCGTTTCAGTGATTAAAACTTGCAATTGAATCATACGAAGAAACAACAAGTGATGAGTATTTGAAATGGTTAAACCTGCTCGTTAAGCTTTTTCGTTTGTTGTGAAGGTGCCATTCCCTCGGACTGCGAAACAATAGCTGATGAAGCTTGTACGATAGCGTTGACTAATTCGGTAAGAGCTGACGACGTCAGGTATTTTCCATCGACGATCAGCTGTTCTGGATGGCATTCCAGTATCACATTTTGTGCTATCTTAAACTAGCGGATAATGTTACTATATAAGGTACTCCATGCAAATAACACAAATCAATGGTTAGCCACAATTCTAATGCTTTTTTTTCAAAGCGATGAAAACATTATTCAACCACCCATCTCATTGAGTATGCTCTCTCAAGGACCTAAATGATCAAAAATGCTTTCGTTCCTTTCAAAACAATCAGACGTCTCTTCAAAACAAGTGAACCTTGATGAGCTGCTGCTGATCAGGTGTTGGCTTTACTTCTCTGCTATCATAACTTGATCCTCCCAATCCGAACCAACTCAACAAACCCGAATCGTTTCTATTCGGTGAGGTTTTCCTAAATTCATAACACTTTCATTACGGCTAACCTATTACGTCATTTGAGTAATTATCAAACGAAGATAGACTCGGCGAATGCTTGCAACAATTCCAAAATCTGCTATATATTCGCAATAAGCGAAGATAAAAAGTTAAATTTCAAAAATGTATTAAGATGAGCAATGATTACTGAATATGTGTACGCTGTATCGACACCCATCC